TATATATATTGTTAATCTTGTCCTCATATATTCCCTGGCCTTTTCTTAGCATCCTGTGACCACTGTTGTCTGATTCAAAGGAATATCACTCCAGTTTAGGGAAAAGAAAAAGTCTGGGCTCAGATTTATTTATTTATTTATTTTACCGTGCTCTTCAGCCTGGCGCAATCTTTTGAATCCCTTCTTCAGTTGCCCTCAATCAGACCTTGTCTGCTTTGGCTGTGGATGATGGAAGTTGTAGTCTTGGCACATTTTGAATGTGCAAAGTTGGGAAGGGCAGCTTTAAGGTGTGACGAAGGTCACGTCAGTGCCACGAAACTAAGGAAGAATGGATGGCTTGGATGATGTTGGCAAAGGAGTATGTCTTTCCCTGGAATCTCTGTTTCTTTCCAAATTCTATTCCAGGAGATGTGTGTATTCCTCTTGAAGCAAACGCCTAAACCATGAGCTAAACATCCAAATTGAACTGGGATGGACAAAGGAACAAGCAAGACATGTACCTGAATTCTCAATAAAATAGTTTGCTTGTAGATTTCACCTGGAGGCCCGCTTCATTCTCCCCACCCACCCCCTCCGAATTATGCTGTTAAGAAACTATTATTCATTCGCTGGGTGATCAGATATTGCCTGTATTTCCAATGCAGTTTGGGTACTGGACCAGAATAAAAAGTATGAAGTTTTAGGAGGTTCTTTTTTTTTAAGTGAAAACTGTCTGTTTTCAAAACCGATAAATTTTGGACAAGGCAAAAGTAGAACTCTCGTCAGACTGTGCCAATTTCCTACTTTGGATACACCTCCATTTATGACAAAATAAACTTCAGTGCTAGACATCCATTCTCACCTGTGTGCTCACTCCCAGCCTCTTTGTTAACACCCTTCTCCCCCCCCCCATTTTCATAATTTAGTTTACTGTTTATAACCAACCTGAAGTTTATTTTTAGTCAAGGTTACACTTTTCTTTCCTTCTGTATATGTTGTTGCACTGAAAGTTAATATTTAATGTTTTAATTTATTGTGTGGTTAAATTAACTTGATTGATGTAAAATGTTTCTGTGATTGGCTTTTGTTTCTTCCATAAATACGCCAAATGCATAGCTATTTAAATGAGTGAAATACACTTTTTCATAATACGTTGCTGTATGCTTGACTTCTTTCATGGTGCTACAGATTTATTTATTTTTTTAAATCTCTCTGGGCAATTTTTCAGCATTGGTGCCTCGGTTTCTTCTGATTGTGAAGCAGTGTCACAACTTTCTGTGAGAAAGTTCAAACTTAGCTTGATCTTTCTTCTGATTGTGAAGCAGTGTCACAACTTCCTGTGAGAAAGTTCAAGCTTAGCTTGATCTTGGACCCCCTTGTTCGTCTTTCTGGCAGTCCAAGGTATCAGCAAAACTCTCCTCCAGATGTTTACTGTTCTACAAGCAGTCCCAGTAGCCGTTGGATGGGGATCATGGGAGCTGTTGTTCATTCTCTGGTGGGCCCCCCTTTGCACCTGGACCACAGGAGCCTCAGTCTGCAAATCTGATGGATGTCCTCTTTTGCTTTCCCCTTTGGGCGGTCCATGCAACGCCAGGTCTTCAACGCTGTCTGGCCCATTCCAGAACTAGAGTGTACTTTTGCAGAAGAGTAAAGTAAATTAAAACTTCATGTGACTTTAGATGAGTGGAAGAGGGGTGGCCGAAAGTATCTTGTGCTTTGGAAAAAGAAAAATGGTTGTGGTTGGAAAGGGATATAAATAGTTTCCATTGCAGGGCAAACACCGGGTGACATTCTGTGTTCACATGGATATCCACATGGAACAGGGGAGTGTGGCAACAGTGGTCCTGGGGGGTTGGTCAATTCATTAGTTGGTGTCCTCAAAACAAGCCTGGTGTGGTGCAACTGGTTTTGAGGACAAAGCCAGATTTTTCAAAAGCCTATTGGCAAAAAGTTACGGGCAAAAAAATAATTTCCATACTACTGTTGGGTGAAAGAAGTAAGAATATGAACTCAGACTTGCTAGTTGTATTCTCTCTGCTGCTCTACCACCCCGCAAGGGTCTGCCGCCTGGCCGTTGGATCTAGAAGGGGAAGGTGACTCAAGACTTCTCGCTGCCTGAGGCAAAAGGGCGCCTTGTTCCATTGCATGTACTGACGGCAGCTGTGCTGCTAGGAGGAGTCCCTTTGCCACCTCTGAAGGCAGGAAGGCTAACATGGGGTGGGGGCGGGGGTGGGTGGGAGACAGGCTGCGGGACGCACTCAGCTTGGTGGTTCAAAGGGGGGGCACAGCTGGGGGTTCAGGAGGAACAGCAGGCAAGCTCCCCTACCTCCCACCTGCCATATGAGGTGATGGTCCTACTCTGCCATAGGGTAGGGCCGACTCTGGATAATGGGTTAATTTTAGATCTGGGGCGGGGGGGAAGAGAGGCTGTTTCTATGGAAGTGTGCACACCTTACGATGGTTCCTCGTGGGGCCACCTGGGCTCTCCTTAATGCCCAATTATCTGCTGCCTGATTTCATCCCAGGATTAGTATGTGGGTCACCAGGTGTGTGGGACACCCAGGACTGAAACTGAAACTGTTGGGCAGGAACAGCCTCGAGATTGCCACACGCCCAAGTATCAAGAACAGGGCTCGCCACACGCAACTCTCCAGGGGCACAGTGACCCACAAACCCGGTTTGTAAGCTTCCTCTCTCCACGCCAGAGGACGGTTCGCGAACAGCACCATCGGCTCGTATTGATCCCTCACTTTTCTCTCTTTGGGAGTTTCCAGCAAAGAGGTGCCTTTGGAGAGGACTAGAAGTCAGGGCAAGCGGGGCTTCTCAAGATGATTCTACTACAGCCTTAGGACGCGTGCGAGTTCTTGAGCTTGCCTCTCCATGAGACCTGGGTTGCACTTTCTGCTCAGCCGCGACACAATATATGCAGCCTTGAAGCCCCTCGGCCTTCCCTGAGCTGACACCGCTATTGGGAAGATAAAATGAGGCACAGACGCCTTCTCCGCCATCCTGACCAACTTGGAGAAAAAGACACACACACACAGAGGAAGCCAAGACCTCCCTGTAGAAACACCTCCCTCCCTCCCTCCCGGCTTCGTTCATTGCTGTAAAAACTGCATTTTGGTCTGACTTTTTATTCTCCTTCCATGGGATGTTATGTCCCTGTAAACATCCCTCATTCCTATAGATCTGCATGGTGCATGTCGTTAATGAGGAGCATGGCGGGCTCCTTTCGTTCTGGAGATTCAGTGCCAACGGTCAG